CCCCCACCCTCACCTGCTGCTGCAGAACCAGAAGATGCCCCCTAAGTCTGATATGTCCTCTGACTGAGCACCCACCCACTCATCTACCCCACCCCAGGGCTGTGTCAATCCCTCTTTACGCCATCACAGAACATGAATAAACACATTGGCCATTATTTCTTCTATGTTGCTTAATAAATTATGTGTTAATCAGAGGCCCCGCCCACTTTTGTCAGTTTTTGACTGAGATCATTTTATGTTAAGTCACGAGCTGCAGTCATTTTGCTCAAACCTTAGAAATAACATGATCTGTTAGCAGTTGGAGCATGCTCTGAATGACTGCCAGCTACTGCCACWCCAGATTTTAGCTCAGTATCTTTAAAACCAACACTTTTGTGTTTGACATTTTGCCAGTGGTACAAATGAAAACACTATTTATGGTTTTTGGTGGCGGGTGATGATAATTAACAGACACAAAACTGGTCTTTCTGTGTATTCAAGTTCTGCTTCCAAGACTGTATTATACTCCATGTAATGACAGCTCTTTTGTTTCCTTTTTGTGTTTTCCACCTTGGCTTGGACTCCCGAACATACCAATCGCTTTCACAGCTTGGCTACGCTGATGTTTACAGTAGATGTCAGTCATTTCTTATTACATATACAAATGGACGATGAAGCCAAAGTGAACCATGTATTCAGCAGTCAGCAATTTCCCGCTATTTGTTTCTGGCTGATTCCCCCCCTCACTCCCCCTCCCTCCTCCTCCTCCTCCTCCTCCTCCTCCTCCTAGTCCCCACCTGCTTATAGTGGATGAACTGATTAAAACAGTGGAGACGCTGAACTGCAGGTCAGCTCCATCTACTGACTCAGAACAAACACTTATTTTGTCTGCATGAGTTTGAGCGACTGAACAAAGGTGAAATCGTCACTCGTGATTTTTATTTTAATTTATGTTTTTCTCCCGTTTGCACGGTTAAAATTGTTCAAAATAGTCCGAGCACTAAAACACAAGCTGCTGTGAAAACCAGTTAACAAAACTATTTTATGGATCAGAGAGTAAAACTATTGCAGCATTAGAGCAGAAATTATTTCTACACTATCATTTATTTGGAGTTGTGTTTTTGTATTTTGTGACACTTTTTTTTGTAAATTTTAAAACCCTGTCAGAGGCGTATTGACTTAATGGAGGTTAGGGTTTGAAAGCGACAACTAATGTCGTTAGTTAATGCCATCATCAGCCTTCGAATCAGTGAAGCTTCAGAGCAGCTGTTCAGATTAAATGAAAGTGATGCTAATAAATGAATAGATCAAGTAAAGGGGTGTTGCTATTATTGCTTTATATAACTAAACAATTCAACTAACAGCATGTTYTTTCCTTGAGAAACACCTTAAAGTTATATATTGTTTTTGTTAAACACATTTTCCTGTTGAATGTTAACATGCTGTAACATGTAGTTGTGTTTAACATTATGATTTCTTTTTTGCTGATGTGGTTTATTATGTTGACGCACAGACATTGTTAAATTCTTGTGAAAGATTTTTTTTATATCTCTTTATCTGGAATAGGTTGTTGACCTGAAGGAGGAGATCCCTGCTGTAGGATCAGGGAGTTTTAAGCCTTGATCAAAGTCCACATAAATTATGTTTCTTTCCATAAAATCATGTTATTCACAATGACGATCCTAAAAATCATTACTAACATTGAACTACTCCTCTTTAAAAACAAATAAGAAGTAGCAGCTAGCGTTAGCTGGTTGTGAATCTGTTTTTTTCAGTCATTCCTGCTCTTCTAATCTAAATCAGATGCAGGGTTGTGCTAAATACTGTGTTTATAATGTATGTGTGTGTATGAATGAGTTGTATTTGTATGTGAGGCAAAATAATTCCTGAAATAATCAAATAAAGAGACCTAAAGTATGATTCCACCAAGTTTTTCAGTTGTCTTTCTTAATGTGAAATGATTGTGTCACTCTTTTCCCTGTGCTTCGGTCCTGTGTCAAAGCTTGTGTAGCTCTGACAGATCCAAAATATAGAATTATTTGCTTTTAGATTAAAAAAAAAAAACTCAAAATATGATGAAAACATGGTGGCATTTGATACAGGGCCATTTCCCCGATCCTTTTAAGTGGACATTCTCAGCATGCTTATGTTCCTGTGTTTGTCTGTGAAAGGTTTTAAAAAACTCCAGCAGGTTTTCCTTTGTTCCCCTCTGTCAGCTTCTACAACCCCAATTCCAATGAAGTCAGGACATTGTGTAAAAGAATACATAATAACAGAATACGATGATTTGCAAATCCTTTTCAACCTATATTCAATTGAGTACACTGCAAAGACAAGATATTTAAAGTTCAAATGGATAAACCATTTATATTTTTGCTAATATTCTTACTCATTTTGAATTTGATGCTGCAACATGTTCCAAAAACGCTGAGACAGGGGCGTGTTTACCACTGTGCTACATCACCGTTCCTTTTAGCAACACTCAATAGAAATAGAATAGAAATAGAAACTGCCTTTATTGTCCCATGTGGGGAAATTCAGGTGTAGWAGTAGCAGCAGCAGATACACACAGGAAAAATAATAATAGAATTAGCAGCAAAAATAATAGAATTAAAAATAGTAGCAATCAAAAATAAACATAGATCAAAAATAAGAATAATAATTACCATACCYTGCTATCAAGGTGAAATTAGATAAAAAATGAAAGTAAAAGCAAGCTACTGTGCAGAAAGATACAAAATTACAGGAAATAACAGTCATGACAGACTCGTGCAAAATGAGTCAAACTCAGTGCAAATTGAGCCGAACTCGGGGGTGTGCAAATTATTTCAGACACAGTCATTAAGTTCAGTACAGCAAAAAAACTGTGAACTATTATTATTATTATTATTATTATTATTATGTAATGATTGAGAGGTAGAGTTGTTCGATGTGCAAACACAAACATGGATGCTTATCATGATTGTTTCGAGCGGTCATGGTTATAAAGTCTAACAGCTGATGGGAGAAAGGATCTGCAGTAACGCTCCTTTGWGCATTTAGGATGCAGCAATCTGTCAATGAGCGTTTGGGAACTGAGGACCTGCTTCATGGACAGCTTTAGTTGCTCAACAGTCTGGGGTCTCATTTGTCAWATGTTGCTCTTCATAATGCGCCACACATTTTCACTGGTGTTCAGTGTTTTCAGCTTTGCTGCTTCCTTGCAGAGATTTGTCCCGGTTCTCAGAATTTTTTGATGATATTATGGACTGTAGACGATGAAATCCCTAAATTCCTTGCAATTGTACTTTGAGAAATGTTCTTAAACTGTTGGAGTATTTGCTCACAAAGCGGTGACCTCACCCCATCCTTGCTTGTGAACGYCTGAGCCATTCAAGGATGCTCCCTTTATACATTTGTTTCCAATTAYCCTGTTCACCCGTGGAATTCTCAAAACAGGTGTTTTTTTAGCATTCCTCCATTAAATATCTTGTTTTTGTAGTGTATTCAGTTGAATAAAGGTTAGAAACGATTTTCAAATAATRGTTTTCTGCTTTTATTTATATTTAACTTCCCAACTTCATTAGAATTGAGGTTGGAACCCATTTAGAAAACGTGTAATGTTGATCCATTGTCTCCCTTGAACACATTAGAGACTCCATTCTCTTCATTCCTTCCCTGTTTTTTCAGTCTGACAGTTMGTGATTCTCTGCCAGGTGAGTTATTTGAGGTTCTGGTTGTGAAAACGCTGAGCCACCTTTTATCAGGTGCAGACTTTACCATCTGTTCAAAGAAACTTAACTAAAAGTAGCCGTGTAGTGGAAGTGGGAGCAACAATAAGCCTAACACACTTTTCCTCTTTATACGCCCCCACCTTTCAGAGTGCCGGTGACCTGGATGACCCCTGGTAGCTGTGGCAGCCGCTCCCCCCCACCCATCTCCTCGCGGTGATCTGTGCATCCACCCCAGAGGAGGACCGTCTCTCCATTGCGCCATGTCTTTCTCCACTAAAAGAGGACGCGTGGTGTGTGCTGGAATGCGTGAGTGTGAGTATGTTGTGTGTGTGAGTATGTTGTGTGTGTGTGTGTGTATGTTGTGTGTGTGTGTGTGTTCGCAGCAGCGGGACAAAGACTACACCTAAACACACATACTGCTTTAAACCCGGAGGAAAATCCGAATCACTTTCTCAGAAATGTCAAGATTTGATGAACGTTGTGACGGTAAAGATGATTTTTACCGTTGAGGTGTTTTTTTTTTTTTTCTTGAATGTTGAACACTTGACTCCACAATGACAGGAGGACCTACTACGTGTGCGTTTTTGTGTGTGCGTGAAAGTTAGTATGTGAACGTGTTTAAATGAGGGCCAAGAGGACACGCATGGTGGATAAAATGTATGTTTTTTTAGTTTGTTTTTTTATTTTTGTGTTCTATAATTGCCTAACACCTTTTGCTTCTTCCCTCAAAAAACACACACACACACACACTCTCTCTCTCTGACCCACAAACTCATACACTGACCCATCCCACCACCCCCACTTCCACTCGTGGAAACGTGTAACGTGCCACCTTCGCAGGGCACCGCACGAGGACTTTGGTTCGACATGAACAGCTTTGTGGTTTTTCTAATCATTCTCAATGGACAGCCGTCGGTCGGGACTGACTGAACCTGAAGGACCTCTAGACTCCGATTGGCTCCTGCTGTGTAACAAATTGAAATTTTGGATTTTCATTTTTGTTGATAACTGTTAGCAGGACGACGATGATAATCATGATGGGCGCAGGGGAGGGGAGGAGGGGCAACGGGAGGTTTATCACTGAAAAGCCGAGTGCAAGTTGGGTCTTTATTTTTATTGCTTGGGGAGCGGGAGGGAGGGGTATTGTTGTATCACTGGTTGGACTTCCTGTATGAAGAGTGTAAGCCTCAACATCGTCGCAGTTATCGGTTCATGTGACAGCAGATTGTTGTGACAGAGGAAAAAACAAGTCATTTTTTTTAAATGTCCATAGCTGCTCGCTACGTAGAGTGAGTGAACCCCCAGTTTTAACCCTGTTCCTGGTTCTCAGACTGCATTGGTAATGTTTGTATTGCTGTTGTTTGATTGCACTCACATTTGATTACAGAAAGCGTCTATATATGAAATAAAATACCTGCCAAGGAACCAGTGGTTGTGTAAGTTAATGGAAGAAACARTGTTCTTTTCCTGTGCAAACTGTAAGTAACCCTTTGATGTTTTTTGCTCTTAGAAGAAATGTAAAGACAGACTAGTCAGCTTTTTTTTTTCTTTAGAGAGATTTGATGTTTCAGTGAAGGCAGCAGTGAAGGCCCCCCGTCAGTCCACGTGAAGCTGACCTCCACTCTCCACAGCAGGGATCACTGACTGGCGGACCCCCAAGGACAAAAGCATGTGCCGTGGTATTTGAGATATTTTGCTTTTTCTTTTCTTTTTTTTAAAGCAACAACAACTTAAAAAAGGTCACCAAATGGGTTAGTTTAAATTGTATTTATTACCTATCAATCTGATAGRTTATTTATAATAAAAGTTACATTTTCACATTCAGATGTTACAGCAACAGGACAGTACGGAAAGTATAAATATTACCCGGTAAGCACAAAAAGTAAGGAAATTGGAGTTTGGTAGATTATTTCTTTGTTGTAACGATGATTGGCAGCACCAAAACAAGTGTCAACAGCAAAATAAGCTGTTTGCCAGAGAAGATTTAGCAAATTTTTCATGTGTACAACCCCCGTACTCTACTGCTCCCACAAATGCGTGTTCCTTACAAATGTGGCACCATTTAAAAGGGAAGTTAACAGGCTATAACAGTATAGGATTTATTTCCAAGAAGCATTGTTACAACAAAGAAATAATCAGAGTTGTTAAGTAACTAAGTACAAATACTTTGTTACTGTGCTTAAGTAGAATTTTTGGGTATTTTGTACTTTATTTGAGTAATTATTTTTCAGCCTACTTTTTAATTCTACTTACTACATTTTCACACAATTATCTGTACTTTTTACTTACTACATTTTCACACAATTATCT